AACTGATTGTAGCCTTATAAATACTTGGCTAGGCTGTCCAAAACGGGGCAGAAAAACTTAGTCTAAGGCATTGTGAAGCCAAATTCGTCTAAGTCATTTCCTAAGGGTGAGAAAATCTTTTTGGGGCAGGAAATTAGGGAATTCTTTGTCTTGGCCATAGGGTTGGCTATTGTGTTCTTGTATTCACATATTAATATAAGTTGGGAAGAAATTCCTGTATATCGTGTGTGCCTTTATTTACTGTTTTTGCTGCCTATTTTCATTCTAAGTGCAAACGTCCCTAAAAATAAAACTAAGTGTTGGAAAGGCTGAAGTCAAGGCTAGGCTTGATTGCCGCACAGAGGTGAACCTCGGGCAGAATTCGAGTGACATAAATCACCCATGTGACAACTAGCACGATGTATAAGTATACCAAATAGGTATATTATTATTTTACGTCTATTCTTACCATATCATGCAAAAAACTGTGGGATATGTGGTCGACACACAATTTTGCATTCTTTAACATGGTATTTACAAAATTAATCTCTCTATAATCAAATAGGGCAAGAACAGGGGAGCATGTGGCTGGTTTTCTCAGTGCTTTGTCTGGTATGAATATATCATCTTCCTCATCTGCTACCTACACAAGAAGTTATGTTGAGGAAGATTAGTAGAACTATCAGCAGGAGAATAGGGAAAAACAAACCAAAGAAGTGGCACCAGTAGTGTAATTCGCCAAAGACCCACAACGCTAAATACTGTTTGTACGCCTAACAAACTATGAGTTCCGTATCAACAGATAGTAAGTCCAATTTGCATGGGTACTCAGGAAGACGTTAAATAGTTTGGTAGTATAGTAATTGCTAGCACATACACATTGCGCTCTGCAATCGCTACTTTATGTCTCGCTGCAAAAGTATAAAGAGAAGGATTTGAGTTCGCAAGTAAATTCAAGTACTATTCTTCTTTTCAACTCCTAGTTCTTTAAATTTTCAATCGCTACTCCCTTTTTACCTATTCTGACAATAGTAATCTTAATGTCCATGCTGCAACATAATGTCTTCAGATTTCAAGAGAAATAACCATTGCATCTATGTGTGAAAGATGATCTCAAGGATCGGAGTGTCCGAAATAAAGAAAGCTAGAAATTTTAAATGTATGTTGGCCACTTCCCTACAGTGAATGGTTAATATCCTTGCAATTATAATTCTTGTCCAAATAATTAGCCCATCCTGTTCCTACAAGGCAAAAGAAAATTACGACTTCAAAAGGATCTGATATAATATAGTAACTGTTACTGGGTAAATGGCATCTGGTTTCGTAGTCATGTCAAATATTTTCCTTTGCATGTTCAGAAGCGGTAGTCATCTCTTAGGATAATTAAATACAAAAGACAGAGTGAAACCAAAGGGAAAAAATTATTTTTACAAATTACTTATTCACAAAAATGGAAGGAAAAAAAAGCCAAAATGAAATTCTTTTTTCTTGAACAGAGGTGATTGAAGATGAATCTTGAAACGCATATCCATTTATAAGTGATTAGGAGGCAATAGAATGAGAGATAGGGGCAAGGATGTGTGGATCATGGAAAGGGAGCTTGAAAAGGAAAGTAGAGCTGAACGACGGCAATTTTAAGCAGAGCCTATTCCATTTGCAGAACCACACAATATGTGGAAACTTTATCTTTGGATATATTTGTGTCTCAGATAATCACACATAGTACCTCATTAAGGAAATTTCACGGGGCCTTACCTTTGGCCTGCTTGTTGTTTTGCTTTCTGCATTTTGATAATTTTCTCTGTCGCCTCCCCTCAAGTTGCTGAGTTAATGGCTATATTCTTGAAATGTGGTGCAGCCAACAAAAAGACACTCACTTTATAGCTGTATAAAACAGATAAAATTTGTTGGACCAATAATTGTGAACTGCTAACGGAAGTAAAGCATTCCCTTTATTAAGATTTTGTACGATTGACGAGTAGCCTCTTTTCCCTTATTTATTTTTGATGCACCCACGAGGTTCCCATATGTATATACGATAGGGTGTCTTATGTAGAAAACCATGTCTTTTTGTAAGGTTTTATTTTTTGGGGGTATACGCCTTGTATACAGGCATGTTTTGGCCCTTCTTTTAATGAGATTTATTACCTCATCAAAAAAACTGATACAGCTAAACAGTGGCTAAAAGTCCTGTCGCACATCTTTCCCAACATTGTGCAACTAAAAAGAGAGAGTCGAGTATTTGAAACTACTTAAACAAGGAAGCATTCTATTTTTTTTTATCTGAACTAACAGGGAAGCATTCTAATGGAAGCCAAAACAAAGACAAAGTGTTTTTCAATTGCCCGACACCTTAAAGGTATTTTCCTTACTTTTACTAAAACAAGAACCTGTTCTCACAAAGGAAATTAGAAAGCTAGTGACACAGCTTAGCTCAACTCAAATTGAATGAAACATAACCATATTGGACTCCACTAATGCAGGCCGCGACAGCTAATATTGAACAGCAAAAAAACAACAGATGAAAAGGAGGTGTGATAAGCAGAGTTAGCATCGACAAAAGCTATTTAAAGACATAATTTGTTACCTAAAAATGCCTTTAGATCAAAAGCACCGTGAAGACAAACTCTCAAAAATGTAACAATTGGATCCCTTGCATTCCACTATGATATCAGTCAGGATGGACAAACACTGAGATTTAAACCTGCGAGTTTGGAGAGTTAAGTTCAAATGCAGTTACCTTCAAATTTTCATATACAAGGTTTTTGCACAGAAGTGACCTATTCAAGGACTATATTAGTTATGTATTACAGCAAAGTTATGTAAAAGTTCATTATCACCTCTGACAGAAGGAATTCACAATAGGCAACCATTATATTCAAAACTACTTTAGGCTTGTCCTGATAAACATGTGTGGACGAAGTTATATGTCGAAGACTGCAAGACACTCATTCATGCACTTCAAAACCAACAAGGCAACAGACTCCATTTTTCTGTGTTCTGATTTTAAGAGGCCTCCCGACAACACTGAGCAGCACAAAATAAATAAGAAAAAAATAACAGAAGACCGATAAAACCACCAAAGCAATAAAATCCGATTACTCCATGCTCATATTTACTTTACGCGGCTTGAAAAGATAGATACACAGAAGACACGGAAAAAAAAAAGATTGAAAACAAAGCATAGATAGGAAAAATAACAGGAATTATAATCACAATTAAATCTGAAATTGACTGAAAAGACTTAACAAAAGATTGAGGCAATAACAGAGAAGGAACTAAAGAGAAGCAAAAAAAAATGGACCAAGGGGAAAACCAGAAGAATCAAAATATGGGAAAGAAGAACAACATAAATACCAACGCTTTGATTGCAAAAGGAAAACAATAAGAAAAGATAGCTGCATAATATAATGTAGGATGCATCAGATAGCATGCATTCTCATACCCAAAAAAGAGGGGGGAAAGAAACAAGAAGAAAACCAGAAGCACAAAAAATCCAGAGCATGGTTTCTAGAAGCTTCAAAATACAACACAACAATTCGAAGGATAAATCGGCAAAAATGGAAAAGCATCACTTGCAATAACATTGGATGATGATATCATAGTCCTCACATATATGAAGCTCAAGAAATATCAAAGAAAAGGTGAGAAGGAATGATATTCGACATGCTTGTGACAAAAATATTTCTAGAATTTTTTTCTATATCGCCAAGAAGAAAGCACACTTAGTTTCAATCTCTTCTATGGAACTTCCTCTGAACTCTGAAGATTCTTTATTTCCTAAATACATGGATATCTCGGTTTTCCTGAGTAACAATATTACCCTCCATATAGCATTTTACCCAACAAAAAAAATAGAAATAATAAGGTATCCAGAACATGAGCCCAGACATCTATTTCAAAACATACCTAGAGAGAAAGAAGAAAAACTAAAACCGGAGAAAATTAAACCAAAACTCACAGGTAGATCTCGCTGGAATAGAAGAAACCAAAGCTTCCGGAAGAAGTGGAGAGACTCGAGAAAAAGCTGACACATAAATTACTGAAGAAGCCAGAATGAGATAGAAACAGAGAGTCCAGGGTATTCCAAATTCCAAATAAGAGATTTCCTTACCTGCTATGTTATTAAATGACAAAACAATAAGTTCCCCAAATTGCCCCTGTTCGTACCATCTTGTTCATCCACCATTGTCGGTTATGTATAATTTATTTAAATTTAGTAGAAATAGCACTCGCACTAAGCAACCGCAAGTACCAAGAAGTTAATAGGTCTTTGGAGCTTCCAACCGAAACATTGTCACTGAACCAAAACCTGTATCAGAATATTAACAAGTTTCTCCTGGAGAACAGATTCGATGAATGCTGTCCTTCTTAAGAACAGGAACAAACTTTGACAATCCCGTAGCTTCTTCAGATTCCAAACAGGAAACAACATAAAGATAGCTACCAACAATTTTGAACCAAAGAAGTAATTCCCACAGTTGCTAAGACCAAAATTATACTTTAAAATAGAACAATATTCTTTTACACCGAACAAACAAGTGGTTAAGGTCACAGCATTAACCCATGAAAAATAGAAAAAGCAAAAAGATCAAGCTCTCCTTTTACTCAACCGCCATGAGTTAGGCTCATGGTATCTATCGTAAAGGGGTTCAATGCGTTCTTGTCTCTTGCGCTTGCTCAATTTAGTTGGGTCAGACACTTTGAAGAATCTCGGCGCCAATTCCACAAGCCATTTCGGATCTACAACAGTGACTTCACGCATGTATTCCTTAGTTGTCATCACCAGCTCATGGTAAATAACCCAGTCCGGTTGTCTTTGAAAAAGTGCACTGCTAGGATGGATGTAAACGGGCTGGTTTTCAACAAGGGTTCTATAACCCTCTTGAGGATCCTTTCTGGCAGAATGAAAAAAGAAACCTGCTGTAATAGCCTTGCGGATCTTTGTAAAGTTTTTTCCGGCACTCATAACATCCAATTTATACCTGCCAAGGCATGGAAGATTCACCATTAGATAACAAATCTATTAAGTTTCTTCTCAATAAAATTATGGATAGAAATCAATTGACTAAGTCCAACCCAATCAGGCAGTAAAAGCTGAATAAAATTGTAAGAGATGATGAAGCAAGAAATGAAAAAACAAAGAGAAGGAATTAAAGACGTACTTGTCCATAATGGAGAGGAGTTGTTTCCTGACATCTTGTGCCCTCCTAAGAGATCGAGATTGAACAAAATTTTCAAAACACCATGGCCCAGAAAAGTTTTTGGCTTTCCAAGCCTCGTAAACAGCAAGCAAGGTCAGATGATCACCCTCAGGCTGAAAAAACTTGGCTCTTTTCTGATCAGCCTGAGCTTGTTTTTCTCTTGGTCTGTAGAAGATATTGCCAGTTTGAATCATTGCAATGATGGTCAAGATCTCATCGCTACAACCAAGGTCCACACTGGCGAGGAGCATCTTGGACAAAGGAGGATCCAATGGAAATTCTGCCATTTTCCTTCCCAATTTTGTTAGGAGCCCCTCTTCATCCAGTGCTCCAAGAGTATACAACTGTTCCATGGCTGATACCAGAGCCTGAGGGGAAGGAGGGTCCATGAAATCAAACGACAAAAGATCATTAATTCCCATAGCTTTCATCATAAGTACAGTGTTCCCAAGATTTATCCTCTGGATTTCAGGGATGCTAGTAGGAGACATTTCATTGTGGAACGCACTCTCCGTGTATAGGCGGTAGCATTTACCAGGTCCTGTTCTTCCAGCACGCCCAGCTCGTTGCTTTGCTGATGCTTGTGAAATTGGAGTTATCACCAAAGAATCAAGCCCCTGTTTTGGATTGTACACATTTTGCTTTGCAAATCCAGGATCAATAACATAATATATACCATCGATAGTCAATGAAGCTTCAGCAATATTCGTAGCAACAACCACTTTTCTCTTCCCAGGAGGGGCAGGATCAAAAATTCTAGATTGCATTTCACTGGGCAGAGCACTATAGACAGGTAAAATAATCAGTTCAGGAACATTTTTACCTAGCCCTTTCATCCTCTCGTACAGACACTGGCAAGCATAATCAATCTCCTCTTGACCAGTCAGGAAAAGGAGGACGTCACCTTCAGGTTCTGTCAAGTGGATCTGTAGTACAGTGATTAAAGCTGCATCAAGGTAATCGCTTTCTGGTTGTTTAGTGTAAAGCACCTCTACTGGAAAAGTTCTTCCTGGAATTGTAAAGATGTTGCAGTTGAAGAAATATCCAGAAAATTTCTCTGCATCCAAGGTTGCAGATGTGACTATCAGACGGAGGTCAGGTCTCCTCTTCACAAGTTGCTTAAGCAGTCCGAAGAGAACATCAGTGTGAATGGTTCTCTCGTGCGCTTCATCAAGCATTACGACTGAATACTGGGACAAATTTTCATCAATCAGAATCTCCCTCAGAAGCATACCATCAGTCATATACTTTATAACAGTTTCTGGTCCAGTACAATCCTCGAAACGGATAGCATAACCAACTTCTTCCCCTAAACGACAACCAAATTCCTCAGCAACTCTCTTAGCCACTGACATAGCAGCCACTCGACGAGGTTGAGTACATCCAATTTTGCCCTTCGTTGTATACCCTGCCTCAGCTAAATACTGTGTCACCTGTGTTGTCTTGCCAGAACCTGTCTCGCCAATGACGACAAGGACCTGATTATCATGGACAGCCTGTACCAGTTCATTCTTCAACTTGTAAATTGGAAGGCTCTTCCTCTGCTCCTGGAGAGATAGTTTAGACCTCTGCCCAAAGGTCAAGGCTTTACCATAAGCATCCTTTTTCCATTCCGGCATGTCATAGGCAGATAAACCGACACCCCTCAATTCCTGTGCCAGATGCCTCTCACCAGTCTCCGGCATTGGGTCTTCCCATGGTCTGTTAAGATCCTTCGGGATGGAATCTAGCATTGTTCTCTGTTGCTGTTCCCTCACTTCCCTTCTCTCTTTAATCAAAGCTGATTGAAGTGCTGCAGCACGACTCAAGGATCCTTCAGGATTTTTAAATATTTTAACAGGGGACATATCCACTGAATACCGACTCTGGCCTTGCAAGAAAGGGGGTTCATCTTCATTCAACTCAATCTCAAGCTCTTCTTCCGCACCCTCTTCCTGATATAGCACCCCATCCCCCTCTTCATCAAACATAGGAAATTCCTTTACACTCATAACACCTGCAGCTATGAGTTGTTTTGCTTCCCATATTTCGGGAGAACTCATTCTCTTCAACGGTCGTCGTGATGGAACAACATCTTCCTCCTCTTTAATCCTGATACCTGAAAGACCAATCCTTGTCTTAGAACCCTCATTGTTCATCCCCGAAGGATTCGCCCTCAATCCATCATCATCCGAACTCTTCTTCAATGGCAACAAATCCCTTCCAGTAGTCTGATCAACATCTCTCATCGACAGACTCAGCTTCTGCCCACTAATAGAGATCACCTTCACATAAACCTCCTGGTCACGCTTTACCAAATCTTTTGCATTTGAAACCCTTCTAGTAGCAAGCTGGGAAACATGCACCAACCCTTCTTTCCCCCTAAAATCATTCAGCTGAACGAAACAACCAGAATCCATCACCCTCGACACCCTCCCCTTATACACTCCATACAACTCAAGCTCATTCGACGGAAACCTCCCCTTCCTTCTTTCATCATTCCCATCCTCCTCATACCCATCTCTTCTGTTCTTCTCATACTTGTTCCTGTCCTGATGCCTCCCAGACCTCATAACATCCTCCTCACCTTCCCCATACCCATCTCTCCTATTCTTCTCATATTTATTCCTATCCCGCTCCCGATCCCTATGCCTTTCCCGGCCCTTATATTCAACTCTATCATCACCATGATTATCCCAGTCTCTATCCCTCTCGCTCTCCCTACCCCTATCCCCATCATCCCAATCCCTACCCCTATCCCTATGCCTATCCTTGCCCCGTTCTCTTCTATCATCTCGATCCCTCTCTCGCCTCCTGTCATGCCTATTCCTATCAAAATCTTCTTCCTCATCCTTCCCCCTCTTACTCTTTGCCTCCAACTCAATCTCCTTCTCTAATTCCTTCACTCTATCTCTATCATCCCTAATTTTCAATGCCGAAAATTCAGAATCATCCTTACTCAACTCATTCTCTAACTTGGACTTCACCTTAGGAGGCAAAATGGCATGAATTATGGTCAATAATGTGCGGACAAAATAATCCGGCATTTCAGCACCATTTTCTTTTAATTTCCGATCAAATTCGTCCACTGTCTCGCACTTTCGACCAAGCTCCGTAATAAACTCAGCTAATACTTTATCACCGAACCCTAAATGGGTCTCGAGCTCTGAACAAACTTTTGAAACTAAAGAAAGATATTCTAATTTCTTTAGTCCATCTTCTTCAGCTCCCATTTTAACAAATCCAAAGGCACGAAATATACACACAAATTGCTTCCTATATGAAATTAGGGTTTTAGAGACTTACCGTTTGAGACTGATCGTGGGATTTTGAAGAAGGGGAATTGGCACTATAATATGTATTTGATGGAAATTATCAATCTGAGCTGGTTAAGGAGAGGAAACCGACGTAGTTCCGGTTTGGGCAACAGTTGCAAGTTCCGGGACTTATTGCAAGGTTATTTAAGTTATTGGGCCCAAAGCTACTACAAATTTGGGCTAAAATGTAGCGGGTGGACCGTCTACTTCAAATGTAAAAAGAATTTTTTATTAGGAATTTTTACATTCCTATGCCATATAGGAAACTATATTACTTTTAATGTTTAAGGTTTAATATAATTATATTTAGTATACCTAATTATCAATTCTATACCATAAGGTGTTTTAACTGTACATTAATTGTACCTTATATCACTCCTAAATTTATGGTACCGTATATTTCTCCAAATCCCCTCTCCCCCCACGTTTCTCTCTCACAGCCCCACACCCTCACCCATGTATCACCACACACCCACGTTTCAAACCATTATTCCCTCTGCTAAAACCAGAAAACTAATTGAAACCCTCTACCATTAACATTCAAAACCAAGGTTTTTTCTTCTACAATCAGTCAAAATTGAAGTCAAATCTTCAAAGTTCATACATGATAATAACTTTTGATGGTTATGATTTCGGGTTCCTTCAGTAATATAAGAGGGAAGGAAAAGAGAGCAGCAATTCCACCATTGACAGCCATTAAAAAGCTTTGAAACTTTGAATTCAAATTTGGGTTTTCAAAATCATTATTTATTTGGATTGGGTGTTGTTGTAAATAATTGGGAATATAGTTTGGAGTTTATATCTCAATTTTGAGGGGTTTTGGTGAAGAT